TTTTGTATAATATGTGCACATACATAACCTATATTTAGTTGCTTGCCTTATCAATGAGGGTGGGGAGGGAGGGAGGAAAGGAGAAAATTTGGAACCCGAAGTTTTAAAAACACATGTTTAAAAAAAATGTTTTCACATGCAACTGGGAAATAATACAGGAAATGGGGTACAGAAATCCATCCTGCCCTACAGGAAAATTGAAGGGGAAGGGGATAAGAGAAGAAGGGGAGAGATAGAAGGGAAGGCAGACTAGGGGAAGGGGTATTCAGAATGCATGCCATCTTGGGGTGGGGGGAGGGGCAAGATGGGGTGAAAATTTGGAACTCAAAATCTTGTGGAAGTAAATGTTGAAAACAAAAAAAAAATAAAAATCGCCATAATATTTTTAAAAAAAAGAACTAATTATAAGTGTCAAGTGTCTGAGGCTGGATTTGAACTCAGGTCCTCCTGACTCCAGGGTCGGTGCTGTATCCACTGCATCACCTAGCTGCCCCAAGAATTGATTCTTAATAACTGTTTGCTGATTAAGTGAATGAAATTACTAGTTCCAGCCTCGGATCTGAACTGTTTATCATCCATCTCAGTACTATGTATGGATCTCAGGCTGAGAAATCACTGAAACAGAGCTACTGAGTCAGTCAGTGTATGAACTCCCCTGCTTTTGTTGCCACTTGCAACAAAAAGCCTGGCTCCTTCTGGTGGTGATGATTACACAAATGCAATCCCCTACCCCTTATGTCCAATATTTCTCATCATCTGTGATGATGTAAATCATCAATAACAACCCATTCTCAGGCTAGTTGTGAAGCAAGCAACAGAGATTACTCCAGGCACCAAGACATATAAGGGTAAAACTCTACATGGGGTCATAAATTCCAGGTTTGTCCCACTTAATTAATTCAATTTAACTCAAAGTTAAGGGTACCTAGCACATTGCAGTTTCTTGAGTTAAATTGATTGATGATAACAGAAAGAATCCATACATACTAAAACATTCAGAGCAGCACTTTTTCTGGTAGCAAAGACCTAAAAACAAAATAGATGCCCACTGACCGGGAAATAAATAAACAAAGTTTGTTGCATAAATGCACTGGATTATGCATAAATGCATAATTACACCATAAGAAACAAAGGAAATGAAGAATTCGTCGAAGCAAGGAGGACTTATATGGACAGAAGTTGAGTGAAGTAAGCAAAACTGGGAAAACATAATATACAATTGTTATAATGTAAGTTGAAACAACAACAAAAAAAGAAACTAAATGGTACATAATCACCAAACTTGTCCAAGGTGAAGATAAGAAAATGAAACTCTCTTACTTGCAAAAGTGAAGGAATACATGTGGGTCATTTCCTTTTCTATTAGACTCAGGAAATGTACTGGTTAATTTTATTTAACTGGGTTTTTTTTTCTAGTTCTTTTCAATTTGTGGTAACAAGGAACGGCTCAATAGAGAAGAGGGAAGAAATTATTTGGAAATGGTGATATAAAAACAATAACAACAAAATCAATAAAAATTAAAAATCAAAGTAATTACCTTGCATTAAAAATGTTATTTTTCGAAATGCAAATCCCCCTGGGAGGCGGCAGAAATTAAGCTTGTCATCTACTTCCACCATAATGTGAATTCATTTATCAGATCATTTCCTTTGTGACAATGGATAAGGCACTAATACAGGGGCTTCTTAAACTGGGGTCTATGCATCTGCTTTTTTAATATTTTAATAATATTTTAATAATATTTAATATTTTGATTTTATTTCAACATAATGTATTTCCTTTGTAATCTCAATTTTATTTTATGCATTTAAAAACATTCTGAGAAGGAGTCTATAGGATTCCCCAGACTGCCACAGGAGTCTATGACACAAAAAAAATTGAGAGCCTTTACACTATAGGAATGAAAACTTTGATGGGGGAAGGAGACCAGAATAATTTTGAAATATGAAGACAGAACTGGGTGATATACCTCAGCAACATGAGCTAGTGTGATATTGTAGAAAGAACACAGGATTTGGAGTCAGAGGACTTGGGTTCATATACCAGGTTAAGACTTCAAGTTAAAATGGTAACCTAAAACCAGCCTTCCCACATATACCACAGTACATATATCTAAAAAGAAAACCAGAGGGGCAGCTAGGTGGAGCAGTACATGGTGCACCAGCCTTGGAGTCAGGAGGACCTGAGTTCAAATGTGACCTCAGACACATAACACTTACTAGCTGTGTGACCCTGGACAAGTCACTTAACCCCAATTGCCTCACACCCCCCCCAAAAAAAGAGAGAACTGGAAAGAGCAATGATCAAGAACACCAATGAGAAACAGCAATAAGCTCGATCATCCTGTCTCGGACTTTACAAGAAGACCAGAAGCCTCAAAGAAGGATAAAGATAAGGCATATAAAAAAGACAGTGATGGATGGCAGGTAGGTGGTTGTAGGGGATAGAGCACCAGCCTGGGATTCAGGAGGACCAGAGTTCAAATGTGGCCTCAGACACATAACACTTGGCCAAGATTTGGGCAAGTCACTTGAAGGAAGGAAGGAAGGAAGGAAGGAAGGAAGGAAGGAAGGAAGAAGGAAGAAGGAAGGAAAGAAGGAAAGAAGGAAAGAAAGAAAGAAAGAAAGAAAGAAAGAAAAACACAAACGAAACAAACAAACAAAAACAACAAAAAAAGATGGTGTTACAGTAAATAGCCTGAAGCCTGCAGGCACTCTGAGCCTGCACACAGGGCAGGTTGTATCCAGCCTGATTTCATAGGGCCTGAAACATGGTGAACTTTGAACTAGGATGCTCCAGGGAAGATAGAAGTCAGAACAAGCCCTGATAAATGTAGACCCAGAGTTAGAGGGATCACACACCTGGTCCTTCAGAGCAGCATCACGGGTGGCTGTGAGAGGCCAGGGTTTCTTCTCTTCCTCCCTTCTCCCCACCCTCATATAGGTTAGGCTGGTTCTTTTCCTAAATCCAAGGAAACTGTCTCCAAGTATTGATTAGCCCAACAATATTCCTTATTAAGGAATAAGCCACCTAGCTGAAGATGAAACTTCCTGGTGGTCTCCAGCCATGTTGAGGTGGCTTCTGATTCACCCAAAGGCATAAAAAGTTTTGTCCACGTGAAGTCAGGGCCCCTAAGACTTGAAGATCCCAAAAAGCTCTGTGAATCACCATACCCTGCTCTGATAATCAAATTCATTTCTTTTCTTTATGGAGAAACCTAAGAATGCTATGTCCTTGCAAACTTTTTTTTGTTAACTGTTGAATGACCTCATTTCATTACTAGGGAGTCAGCCTCAGTCGGACTCAACCCACTATAGGGACAGAGCTGGCCTCCAATACTATCTAACTTAATTCACAGACTCAATGTCATACCAAACTACCAAAGGGTTACTTTATAGAATGTAAAAAAGAATAACCATATTCATCTGGAGAAACAAAAGGGTAAAAATCTCAAGGGAAATAATGAAAGGGTGGAAAAAGAAGGGAACCTAGAAGCACCAGGTGACTTCAAACTATACTAAGCAGTGAAAGTCCTAAGAATTATTTGATACTGGTTAAAAACTCAAAAAGTTGATCAAAGGAACAGATAAAGCACTGTATGTAACAGCAGAAACAATTGAACATAGTAGCACAGTGATCAATAAATCCAAGGACTCCAACTACTAGGGATAAAGATTCACTATACAAAAGAAAAAAAAATTACAGGAAAAATTGGAAAGCAGTCTGGCACAAATGAACAACACATGACCATATACCACAACAAGCTCCAAATGAATACATGAGCTAATTATAAAAGATCACATCATAAATTAAATGACAAAGGAAAGAGATACCTTTCACAACTATGGATAAAAGAAAAGTTCTTGATCTAAAAGGGCTAAAAGGATCCGAAGGAGATAAAATTGACAATCTCAATGACATAAAACTGAAAAGTTTTTGCACAAACAAAATCAATGCAGTTAGAATAAGAAGGCAAATGGTTCACTAGGGAAAAAATCTTTACAGCAAATTTCTCTGTATGGCATACAAGATATATAGATAATTGATAGAAATATTAGAAAAAGAATCATTTCCCAATATATAAATGACCAAAGGATGTGAATAGGCAAGGAAAGAAAAGCAAGCTATCAACAGCCATATGGAAAAAATGCTTCAAATCACTAATAATGAGAAAGGCAAATTTAAATAAATATAAGATTCTACCTCACATCTATGTGATTGGCAAAGGTGACAAAAAAGGAAAATGGGAATTGTTAGAGGGGTTGTGGGACGTGTTGAGGGACATGTAAAATGATCCAGTAGACCCAAAAACTCACTAAACTTTTTGACCCCGTATTATCACTACTAGACCTATAACCCAAAGAATCAAAGAGAAAGGGAAGGAATCCACATTATAAAAATATTTACAGCATCACTTTTTGTTGTAGCAAAGAATTGGAAACAAAGTAGGGGTCCATAAGGGGGGAAATAGCTGAACAAATCATGGTATATGAATGCAAGGAATATTATTGCAACATAATAACAATAGGGATGTATTCAGAGAAACCTGGGAGAATCTGCGTGAACTAATGCAGAGTGAAGTAAACAGAATCAGGAGAACAAGTTATACAGTAACAACAACATTGTAAAGAAATACTTCAGAGTACTTAAGTGGTGGTCAATCACAACTACAGAAGACTGATGATAATGGCAGAGAGATGACAGACTAGAAGTATAGAAGTAAATAAATATTTTCATATTCAGCCAATATGTGGATTTGTTGTGTTTATCTATAGGTATTTGTTACAAACTTTTTTTTTTTTTTTGCTGGAGGGGGATCACTTACTGGTGTAGCTAGGAAGGTGGTACATTGGATAGAGTGCCTGCCTGAATTCTGGGAATCTGTCCAAAAAGGAAATGTGTCCTTGGAAATGTTACATCATATGGTTTATCTGACAGTGGGACAGCCTGGTGTATGTGACCATGTAGTATGAACATGCGTCATGCCAAACAAACTTACCACGTTCCAGAAAAGGGGATTGAAAATGATGCAGAGGACAGCAGCCACAAAGCTGAAATCTGTGACATCGATGTAGCCAAGAAGCCGGGTCATAACGGAAAGTTCTGCCTGGAAGGAACAAAGTTCCATTAGTGGGGCAGCCTCACTGGTAAGGATATAAGCTCAAATCTCAGGACCCCAAGCTATGCAATGGGTCCTCCTCTCCAGGCCATCACACTCAGAAAGATCCTCGCCTAAGCCTCTCTAATCCAACCAAACTCATTTCCTCACCAGATCCCAACATTTGCCATGTTCATTCTTACCTGGGCCTTTGCTTACACCATTCACCTGCCCTGAAATGACCTCTCCCTTCCTCCCTACCTAAGTTTTACTAATTCTTCAGGGCCCTGCTCAACTGTTACCTCCTCCAATAAGCCTTCCCTGAATACCCTAGCCCCACCATGATCATGATAATAATAATAATAATAATAGTGATAATAACAGCTAACATTCATATAGTACTTATGATGTGCCAGGCACTGTGCAAAGCACTTTACAATTATTATCTCATTTGATCCTCAAGACAACTCTGGATTAGAGGTGCTATTCTCCTCCCCATTTTACAGATGAGGAAATTGAAGCAAAGAGAGATGAAGTGATTTGCCTAGGGTCACAAAGCAAATGGGTCTCTGAGGCTAGATTTAAACTCAGGTGTTCCTAACTCCAGCCCCTACACTCTACTGCACCACTTAGCTGTCTCTAAGTTTATAACTTCTTTCTGAGCAAGGATAATGTCTTCACTTCAACAGCCACAATGTGTCCAGTGTCGAATCATAATAAAAAACCTCCTTTAACTGAGAATGATGGCTCTGTAATTCTTGCTACCAGGGAGGTTGAGGCTGGTAGCTGCTCAAGGTCAATAGTTCTGAGTTGTAGCAGAACTAAGAAGATTCAGTGACCACATTAAAGTCCAACACCAATATGTTAAGCCCCTGGGTTTGGGTAGGCCACCAGGCTGCCTAAGGAGGTGAAAACCAACTCATGTTAGAAAAAGAACAGAACAAAACTTCCATGCAGATCAGGAATGGAATCAGGCCTGTGAGTGGTCTCAGCACTTCTAGCCTGATTGAAATAGGGAGACTCAAATCTAGAAAACCAAACCAAACCTTCTTTTTAATTTCTCTAAAAATATTAAGAAATGACATTTCTCTGTTTCAAAAAAAAAAAAAAAAAAGCTCTTTCCAGACACACCTTCTAAAAGGTAGGGCAGATTGAAAACAAAAAGACCTTTTATAAAGAAATAAATGAAGGATGGAAACTGAAGGTTGAAAAAAAAAAGACCCCTCTCACAATCTTATTTATCCCCAGAAACATCCACCCAAAGGAAATGTCCTTCATTCCTTTTGATGGAAAGTTCTCTCCTCTATTAGTCAGAAGAGATTCTCTACAGGAGTTTCTTTGTAGATTCTAAGAGGGTGGTGTTTCTGGAAAGAATGGGATGGTGACTTTGTTACTCATCTATTCTGGAATGTTAGCCAAGAACTGTATTTTTTACATATTGAGATTGTCTTCTTCATGGTTATTAACTATGTCACCTAAAACTGTCTAGGAGAAGAGAGAAACACATCATAAGGCATGGAAGAATTATGTTAGTTTGTACATCTCTCTCTCCCAAGCTAGAAATGGAATAGATATTAATGTTCAATTCAATGAAGTTATTTCTGGCAGACCTGTGCCTAACATGGAAAGTAGAGTATTAATATTTTGTCTCTGACGCCAGGTAAAAAGCATTCAATATAAGCTAGGTGAATGGTATAAAAAAAAGATTGACAAAGACTACAACAATGAAAACAGATCAAAAAAAGAAAACTGAACACCATATAATTATGATGACCAAACTTAGTCCTAGAGAAGAGCTGATTAAAGGCACCTCTACGCCTCTTTACAGAAATGAGGAACAATAGGTATAGAATATTAATTGTATATACTGTCAAACCTGGCTAATGTGTTGGTTTTGTTAAACTGCTTTTTTCTCTCTTTCAATTTTAACCTGTGTTTACAAAGGATGGCTCACAAAGTATGGGGAGAGGAAAACAAAAGTGATGTAAAAAAAACTAAGATATCCATAAAAATAAGATTTTTTTTTTTAAAAAACATGATTGCGTGAATGAAAATGTGGAATTCTATGAATGAACACTAAACTCTTTTTCTCCCCCCCGGTACGTTAATAGACACTCAATAAATGTTTGTGGATTTGAGTAAGGAAGGGAGGGAATGGAGGACTGAGTACTTTCTAAGGACACAGTAGCTCAGCCTGGAATTACAGGAGCCCCTAAAACATATCCATTTTGCAAATATTAAACTGCAAGTATCCAAGTATGGAACTTTGCCTTTCAATTTCTTCCTAATTTTTCCCAGGTCACCATACCCTAAGGAAGACACATGAAAGAGATGCATGGTCACTATAATGACAGAAATGCCTTTCTCTTTTTTCAGGGCTCCATGGGCTAAAGTTCATTTAACTTTCAATTCTCACCCAAGGGGAAGACATGAAAAGGAACTATGGAATTAACCATCTAAAAGCCACTTCTATCAGTCTGCGAATGTGCTGACTGTGCAGTAAATTTACTTTACATTCTTCAAACAAATGATGATTCACATATGGATGTGGGTAGCTATATGTGTACCACACTGCAGAAGGAAAAATTGGCTGAAAGATAGAGAGTTTGGGGTTTTATTCCCTATCTGCCAATGTGCATTCTGAAATAAGTCCCTTTACCACTCTGGGCCTTGGTTTCTTCTGGCTATAGAATGAAGGGAATGGATTCAGGGGTGGGTAACCTGTGGCCTCAAGGCCATGTGTGGCCCTCTAGGTCCTTAAGTTGCAGCCCTTAGACTGAATCCAAACTTCACAGAACAAATTCCCTAAAGTTTGGATTCAGTCATCAGGCCAAACTAGAGGACCTAGAGGGCCACGTGTGACCTCAAGGCTGCAGTCCCCACCTGACTCTAGCTCTTTTCATCTCAAACAAAAGCAATCTTGGCTCATAGGTCAGGGAAAACAGAAAAGGGCTGAGTCTCAGCTACTAGACTTTGGGAAAGATTTAGGTCAGGGGCTGTCTATTTCTCAAACGGCACCTTCTGGGATTCCAGAATTGGGCATCTGTCAACCCCTAACAAATGGCATTTAGCTCAGGAGATTTGGTCTCTTTCAGATTTCTGTGTTGAGGCTTAAGTCTTAACAGCAGCCTAAACACTGTGATTTGAGGTCTGACCTTATTTTTATGAGCTGTAATTCTAAGAAGTCACAAAACATTTTACAACTGCTAGCAGATAATAGGAGGGCAGAAATGCCCAAAACTAAAGGGTAGGGAGTTCACTGAGATTCCCAGACACTATCCCAAAGGACATGAGGATGAAGCATCTCATCCATGAGTATGAAGATAAGAGATGGGTCTCTGCCTTGGAGGCCACCTCAATGGCTAAATTCTCCTTCTGGCCTTATATGTGGCCTCTGTTTTAGAGTTGGTAGGAGAATGGGATGATAAGGGAACACTTTGAGCTATGGAATTAAATCCAGACCTCACCCACCTACTTGCATTGACAGCTAGAACCAAAACTGGAAAAACCTCTTCAGTCCTTTTCCCATCAATACTATGCTGTAGATTGCTAACCTACACTATTAGCCACAACTCCTCATTAAATTCTTCTCCTTCACAGTAGTGAATCAATCAGTCGGTCAACAAACACTTATTAAGCAGCTACTAAGTACCAGGCACTGTGCTAAGTGCTGCAGAAACAAAGAAAGGTAAAAGACAATCTGTGACCTTAGAAACTCACAATCTATTCAAGGAGACAACATACAAGTAACTATCTACCTATAACAAGCTATATGCAGGATAAATTGCAAATAATCAACAAAGTGAAGACATTAGAATTTAGAAGATCTGGGAAAGGTGTCCTGTAGAAGTTGGGATTTTAGCTAGAACTTGAAGGAAAGCAGGGAAAGCAGGAGGGTGACATGAGAAAGGAAAGCATTCCAGGCATGGAACACAACCAGAGAAAATGCCCAGAGCTAAGAGTGTCTTGTTCGTGAAAGAGCAAGGAAGGTCAGTGTCACTGGATCAAAGAGCACATGGAAGGGTGTAAGGTCTAAGAGGGGCAGCTAGGTGGTTCAGTGGTAGAGCACCAAGCCTGGAGTCCGGAAGACATCTTCCTGAATTCAAATCTGCCCTCAGACACTTTTAGCTTTGTGACTCTGGGCAAGTCACTTAACCCTGTTTGCCTCAGTTTCCTCATCTGTAAAAATGAGCTGGAGAAGGAAATAGCAAAGTACATCAATATCTTTTCCAAGAAAACTCCAAATGGGGTCACAAAGAGTCAAATATAACTGAACCAACTGAATAACAACAAAAAAGGCATAAAAATATTGGAAAGGGTACAGGGTCTTTGAACCACAAAGAGAGGATTTTGTATTTGATCCTGAAGGTGAACAAGAACCACTAAAGTTTATTGAGTAGGGGTGGGGTGGTGGGTAGGGTCAGACCAGCACCTTAGGAAGAATATTTTGTTGGCTAAATGGAGGATGACTGGAATTAGGGACTGAAGCAGGGAAACTCACCAAAAGTCTATTGCAATAGTCCAGGCATGAGGTGATGAAGACCTGCACTAAAGTGGTGGCATCATCAGAACAGAAAGAGCAGGGTATATTCAAGAGATGTTGAACAGGTGAAATTGACAGGCCTTGGCAACAGCTTGGATTGGGGGGGGGGGTGAAATAGTGAAGAGTCTAGGATGACACCTAGGTTTTCAGCCTGGGGGGACTAGGAGAATGGCTATGCCTTCAACAATAACAAGGAAGTTTGGAAGTGGGAACGTTTTAGGGGAAAAGATAACAAATTCGGTTTTGGACATGCTGGATTTAAATTGTCTACTGAACGTCCAGCGCTAGATGTCCAAGAGACAGCTGGAGATGTGAAATTAGTCAGCCGAGAGGGTAGGTCAGCATAGAGATGGGAATTAATGACATGGTCAGACTTGTACAAAGACAACACATGTTTACTGTGGCTGTAACCTTTACCTATCCTCTGAATCATCACACACACACTGCCAAGCACAGTCTGAGTGTT